TCAACTCGCCATTCGTTCCATTCAATTTCCATCCGCGCTGCGCTTCGGTCCGGGGTTCGAAAAGGGAGAGGAAGAATAAAAAGCGGGAGGAGGAAGAAAATAATACCGTGTCGTGGAAAGTTAACGAAGAGAAGCAATTTCGAGGAGGAAATGCCATTCTTGGGGACGCAATCGCGCAGAAGTTGGCAGACTCTCGCGTTATCGTCCTCGCGGGTTCTCGCGTAACGGCACGACCGCACCTGAGAACGATGTTTTCCTTCCATTATGCTTAATTGGAGAGTGTACAGCTCCAGAGGAAAAGGCCGTGCACTCCCTTGCTAACCGAAATCGCCGTGAGCGTCGGAACTTCTCAGCGTTGTCCGATACGTTGACCGAACTTCGGCAACTATGCGCCGGTAAGGGAAAGAAACCATAAAAGTTACGGTGAAATTAGAAGAGCGGTGTCTAGCCGTGACACGACCCAGTCGCAGCTCGTTGTTCCCACGATCCTGTGTTACCAACTTTTCCTCTGTCCCTGTGTACGGTTTTGGGAATTTGACCGTACGAGGGCAAAAGGAGCAGCGGCACGAGAGAACTATTTCGTCTTGTCTGGCCGAACAAGTCTGCTTTCGATGAGTCCATCCGCTTCGGCGGTTATCTCAGGGCGTGGAGATTGATTTCAGCTCGAATCTCAAAACGGGAGAACGACCCTGCGTCGCCGGCGAAAATGTGACGTTATTTTTCCAATCGATACAATCGCGTTGTTCTTTTCCCTTATTAGATGCATTCTTCTGGTAACCGAGTTGTTTCGTGCCAGTCAAATAAATAAACGAATAAATAAATAACGAGATCCCCGCTATTCGTTCATACCGGCTTCTTCCCCTACATTTCGTCCCCGATCTCGCGTTATTGCATTATGTATCACGATCAGACACGCGTAAGTCTGGTCGCGAATAATCGAATCATGTGTCCCCGTCAGCGACCCACCACCTTCGCCACCCCGTGCCACCCTTCTTCCGATAGAAAAAGCAGCGAGCATCTCGAAGAAATACCCGGATAGAAACAACCGAGGCCATAAAACTGTATTACGTGGAACCGCGAGAAGAGGGCACGGGTTTGTGCAAAGGCGCCGACACTCGGTCATGTTTCTTCGTCGTATCGTAAAAACGCGGTAAAGGGAAGAATACTCGAACGACTATCCCAGTTTTCCGCTCGTGGAAGCGAAGTATGGTTCCGTTGCCGATCGCTGGATCAAATCGTGTCGGATTCGAACGATCGAGGCAAACGGGGATTCGCGGATGCCGTTTTCCATCGATCTACGGAGATTTTGGGTATTAGCGCTTGGCCATCGAAACGAATTACCCTCGACTTTTCGTTGGAACTTGCACGAAAACGGGGTTAATGGGACGGGGTGCCTCCGCCGGGGATAATTACCGGGGTTCGGTCGAAAACGGTGTATCTCGTGACGAGAAAGTTTCGATTCGAATCGGGGATAGTCGGGGAAAATTCCTCGAGGTAGTCTCATACCAGTCAACGATACGTATCGACGACGTCGTCTATTAAATCTAATAAATTGGATCCGCTTTGGTTACGCGACGGGGTTTAATAAGCCTTCGATAGGGGTTCCTCTATGTTCGATCTACCCTGTGTCACAAAGTTACCGGTATACTTTTCGTTAAAGTGGCTACAACGCAAAGGAATAGCAGTCAGTGGAAAACTGTGGAAAAACTGCATAGATCCTTATTGAACGGGCGAATGGGTAGAACTAGCCTGTTTAGGGCCACGCGGGTCAAAAGTCGTCTTCGGAAGACTGGAGACAAAAGACAGAAAGCAGTTGGAATGTAGAATTTACTTCACTATTGAATTTGACTATAACACTTTTATAGTGTGCAGAAATACCGTTGAATGTAGAAAACGTTCGACCATTTTACAAATGTACGCGCGTGTAAAATTTGAGAGCCGTGGATTTTTGTTTGCGAGCGGAGATTGCACGCGCGATTGCATAATAAAGGCTCGTTCGCGTTGAAAAATTACGCGATCTATAGAGGGACTTGTTCGACTCTTTCACAGATGACGCGATATATCGTTTGGCGAAGAGACCGTCGTAAATTAAAGCAGCCCGCTGGTCTGTTTCCCTTGTACACGCCCTGTTTTTACAGACCGCGAATTCGTCGTGTCACCGGCAAACAGAGATTTGTCAATGAGATTGCCCTTACGGCCGGTATCCATGGAACGACGCCAAATCTCGGCCCATCGGGTTACAACGTGTAAGCGTGACTCGGCCTGTATACGGGACGCCGACGGTCATTGTAATCTATGCGCGTTTAAAGCTAATAATTCGGCTTAATAAATCGAAAGGCTCGATTCGATAATTAGTTGGCTGCCGATCGCCCGACGCGAAAATAATTATCGTACCCTGCGGCGTTTCTGTAACCGATTAATAATCGACCGACGTTTCGCGTCCCGACGAGTTTCCACCTGTCATTGCGATAACAATTATTCCTAAGCCATTCGATCGTATAATTACGTTCGTTTCGCGATTGCCCCGAGCCGATCCGAGCGCTACAATAATTAACGCCAAAGGAAATTAACGGTATTTGCTTTCAATTAGTCACCGTTACTCGATTCGTGAGAATCCACGGATGTTTCGGGTTCACCGGCAAAGGAGAAGGGTTCGCATCGGGCAACGAAACGGACCGGGCATTTAAACTTTTCCACGTCGAGAATTTTACTCGCTAATTTGCCGAAAGTTTGCAAACATCAAGCACGAAGCCATATCCCACGGATGGAAGATAAGAAAAATAAAGGCGCCGGGGAACGCATCGACTGCAGAGAACAAGGTACACGGGATAACGTTGTTAAGAAACTTTCGTTGCGCGAGGTACGCAACATTGACGAGAGCCAGACGCAAACTGACACGGGAATCTGCAGGACGGAGATGCGAGTCTATTTTCCACGTCGGAGCTGGTCGTGTGAACTTTGAAAATAGTTGCTGCAAGGCGCAGGCTCGAAGCCGAGCATCCGACACGACCGGGAGAAAATTCCATGAAAGTTGGATTACCTTTATGGTGTTTCCTATTAGAAAGTCTTCGAAAGTACGTGGCGGATAATTTCGGCTGATCTTCATACGTAGACCTATACTATATCCCAGCTCATGCGCGAGAAAAACAAAAGCGAGTTAATCTCCGCAGATAACTTACTCGACAATTCCGAAGAAACTTCGATCTCCGATTCCTCGACGACGCGGAGAAATTCGATTAGCGATTAATTAGTCCACGGTTTGACAGTCTCATAGCAACTCACGCAGAGGAGATTAAGACGTAATTACCGCCTCGTCCGATTAAACTTCAGCAACCGCCGAGGCATCAAAGTAGCCGAAGAACTCGTCTGTTCGACTCGCGATACGTATATTCTACTAACGACGATAACGGAATCCTGGATCCCAGTTCGAGCTAACGATCGTTGGAGAATTTACTCGTTTCCTACCCTTCTTCCCAAGATTCGGTAAAAAGAACGTGGCTCCATTAATCAGAGATCTCTCCGATACTCTAGCAGCGATACCGAGTTCCACGAACCATTCCAACCCTGTTTCATCCCTGACCCGTAATTCCCAAAATTAAACCACGTAACGCCGAAAACACGGCGAGTCGGGGTGCAAGTGGAACGTGACTGCAATGGTCGGACCATCAGCGTGCGCCGGTTCACTCGCGGTGAAAATTGAAAGCGCTTTGACGATTCGGGGAAACAGGTGGAAATGGTTGGAGATAGGCGACGAAACGCCGAGGCTTTAACGACGAAAGGAAGGAGAAGGTAAAAGTGACTCACCTCGCTTGGAAGCGTGAAAACTGTCCTGCGGTTTTATCTGCTCAATCTGGGCGCTGAGACGGGACTTGGGCAGGATGTCCCGGTTGTTGTTGATCTTTTCCACGGCGTAACGAAAGGCCACGTCTTGCTTGTCGTCCGACGGATGAAACAGCCCACCTGGGAAATCACACATCCATATTAAAGCGCTACTTTGACGGGAGCATGTGCCCGGTATTCCTTATTTTCCCTCGCCAACCGCCTCTATCTCCGCCATTTTATTTATCTATCCGCGACGCTCTCGGCCTTTGGCAAAGCAACGGAATCCGGAAGTTTATCCGCCCCGCGTGCTCGCTATGCTTCGAATATTAAAATATTCAGCCGCTCCGCTCCGCTCGCTCCCGCGACGAACATTGCCGCGTTTCCGGCTCGCTGGCCTTTTTAAACTCGTTTTTTAATTGCAGCGCTCGATATCGAAATTTTCAATTTCGGTTGGCCGAGCAGCGCGTGGTCGATAGAATCGAGGGATTATAATGAATTACCCGGGCCATAAGTTAAACTCTGGCCCCGGAAATTTCAGGCCGCACGCTCTAGTCGTTTCGAAACACCGCAATCCCCGGCCGGTTTCGAACGCGGGCCAGCCTGCTACGGAAAATGCGGCGAATTCGAGTTGCCAACGGGAGAACGGCTGCATAGTTCTCGCGACGTTAATATGCAATGAATGTAAGAGAGCAGATAAAGCGAAAGTAGGCCAGCGGAAAGAGAAAAGGGGGTGAAATGGGAGTAAAAAGAAGGGAGAAGGAGAAGAACGGAAAAAGGAAAATTAGGGGAAAGAAAAGGAGGAGGATGAAAGAACGAGAGGATAAAGGTGGAGAGAAAAAAAAGAAAGGAAAGGTGGAGGAAAAGTTAAAAGTTCGCTGCGGCCAGTACCGTATAGCCGCAATGAGAGTTAGGAATTTAAGAACACGCCGATATCGCGCTTTGAAATTATGATTCGTTGAAAAAGAGTAACAGGGTGGTGAAAGGCGGACCTCGGTTGGTTATTTAATAACGCGCGATACCTGTGTCCGCGCGGGAAGGAAGATTCCCGATAAATAATTCACGCGACGATGAAGCGTTCGGCGGAGAAGAAAACTTTCGAACAGCCTCTGTCGCGGTCGCGGTAAACGCGGGGTAAGTTCGATCTGAATTCGGTGAATTCGGTGTCCCGGAAGGAATTAGCGTCTCGAATTGATTTTAATCTCGCGAGCGTCGTCAAGAAACTCGTGGAACAGCTGCG